AGAGGTTGAATTAATTCTTAATGGAATTAACAAATGTTTGAGTAATAGGGACATAAAGTCTAAATTCCATCTACTTGAATATGGAGTGGTGCCGCTTTGAATACGACTTAAAGGGTTGGTCATATAAATATTCTTGAAATCAGGGGTAACACATGGCCATAAAAGTGCTAAAGCTCTATATTGGATTGTTTCTTCAATGCTTAATGATATTATGTGTGTGATACTTTCGGTTTGACAAAAGGAGTTACAGTTTAAATCTTAAGATACCAATAACTTCGTCGAACTTTAAGGTATTTGCACTAGTGGAGTGTTCAAATCTACATAAGATATATACACGATATTAACATATACAAACTAGTGGGGGATTGTTAGATATAGTTTGTATATGTGGGGCTTCCCACATTAGTGGCTGAAAGCCACCTTTGAGGCCTTAAAATGTTACAACCACTAAGTCATATAGAATGAGTATTTGACGTACTTTAAAAGTATGTGTAACATATATTATTATATATATACATATATTTTTAATTATATATCTAAATAACTTGGACTTGGACTTGAGCGCGGGCCGGGTCGGACCTTTAAATAAAGATTTTATATTCGTATTTATCTTTTTTTGGAGCAGTTTCTGATTATTTAAAATTAAAATTTTAAATAAAATTGACATAACTGTTCGTATAGGAATGTGACATTTCTGAAAAGTCTTCTCTTGAGTTTTATAAATACAAGGATACCCCAAGAGAAGTGATATTCAATTTGCACGTATAACTCCGGCTTTGTTGTATCCTGAGGGAGAATTGCTTGCAATCCCCTAAAGAATATACGGAAAATATCTCTTGAAAAATAGTGATCTTTCACGTCTCAAAGCTATACTTCTCCTTTAATCTCCTGCAAGTTTCTAACAGATATTATAGAGTTATGAGTGCTTTTATAGAATTGTCGTTTCTTGTTAAGGAAAAATCATAATGTGTTTCTAGTTTGGGCTAAGAGACAAGCAAATCTAACTGCTCATTGCTTGGCAAAAGAATTAAGAAATTATGTTAGTCTTTTCTATTGGGAATATGCACATATTTGTATTGCAAATTTGTTGGTTGCTGATTCAACCTAATAAAAGTCTTTGTTTGAGTACTAAAAGAAAAAGAATTTTTAAGAACCATATCTACTATCTTGTTTAAAGTAACATTTTTGAGTATTCCACTCATGAACACCAACATCTTCACCTTCCTATCCTTTGAGTCATCACATAATGCAAATTAATTTAAAGTTCCATAGAATTTAGGAAGTCACAAAAAGGTCTATGTATAGGACAAAATATGATATGACACGTGGTCATCTAAAGGAAGGACACGTGAAACCCAAGACATAGATGGTCACCGAACGCAGTTATTCCGCTTGTCACCGGAGAATGTTCATAAAGGTGCATTAAATATTTTGCGTCCGGTAGTATTTAATAGAGAATATTCTACATCATTAAGAACGGCAGCCCCTTACGAGGAATTTGGCATTTAATTTCACCCTTACACCTTCATCAATGGCCCTCATAATTGACATTAAAGGAGGGCACGATACTAGAACATCCTTCCCAAGACATAGCTATAAATAGAGAGCTCAGTTATCATTGTAAAGGACATAAATTTTCTGGCAAACTTATATTACATTCTATACAAAGCTTAATATCATTTACTCTCTTGCTTTTGATCTCATCATTGTTGTGCCCGAAAATTTTGCCCTTGGATTCGTCAATTCTGCTATTTCATCTATAATCTAAGGCTATGTATCATATTGTTCTTCAATTATTTTATTATTTCTGGATCAAATTGGGTCACTTGTCTAGAAATCACATATAAATTTAACTGTACTGCTTTACGGGTAAACAGTTTGGCGCCCACCGTGAGGCCTAGACAGCCATGTAATTAAATTGATCCTTATCTTTTTTACTAACGTGCTTTGATTGTTTTGTCTTAGAAAAGAAAATTCATAAGAAATGGCAGATAATACCGTTAACAACACATACAACCCCGAGATTCAAGGAGATTAGCCTCACTTCGAGGACTCAATTAGTGATACTCATAATGAGGAGAATGACACCACACCGGTTCATAACAGGCAGTATCCTTGGCAAGTTCTGGAGGCAATTCCCGATGATGCTAATGAGGAACATGTTGTTGATGCGGTAAGAGTTTTACAAGAGCAACATGCGATCATCCTAGGCCATCTCACGCGACAAGATAAGGTTATGAGTCTTATGATGGAGTTGAAGCAAGCACTATCAGGTGCTTCCAACATTGCAAACAGACGAGATCTAATTCCTCCCGGTGTCCCCACAAATCAAACAACGCAGAGGATCGGCAAGAGCACTCCCAGGGGGGGTGAAGTTGGCTCCGAGGGGGCTGGGAGGGGAGGGGGGGGAGCGGATCGGTCTCAATAATAAGAACGATCCTTTCAAGAATGAGCTTTTACAGTTTATGAGGGAAGTAAAATCCCACATGGACCAAATCCCGGGTACACCACCAGTATTGAAAGGCCCGAATTCGAAGAAGTATACTCAATTGCCGTATAAGCTGAGCACTGCACCACAGTTGATCCCGAAATGGTTCATAATGCCTGAGGTGCCAAAATATGAAGAAACTTTGGATCCTCAGGAGCATGTTACCACATACACGACGACAGTAAAAGGAAATGATTTAGCGCCTCATGAAATTGAATCTGTGTTGCTAAAGAAATTCGGGGAAACTCTAACGAGACGGGCTCTAACGTGGTATTCATTATTACCCGAGCATTCCATAGATTCTTTTGAAATGCTCGCGGATTTCTTCATCAAGTCCCATGCCGGGGCTAAAAAAGTGCAAGCTCGAAAGGCCGATATATTCAGGATTCCGCAGGGAGAGTCCGAGTTGCTATGCGAATTCGTCACCCATTTCCAAAAGGAAAAAATGTTGCTCCCGGCTGTCCCGGATGAATGGGTGGCTGAAGCATTCACTAAAGGACTGAATTCGAGAAGTTTAGACGCTTCGCGAAAGTTGAAGAAAAGCTTACTTGAGTTTCAGGCAACGACTTGGGCAGATGTCTACAACCGGTACGAGTCAAAGATGAGAATCGAAGATGATCAAGTTGACTTTCCATCATCGGACAAAGGATGGGAGAAGGATAGAGAAAAATCAAAATATGACTACGATAAACGGACTTCGAGGGGCCGGTTTTTGCCCTACGAGCGGACTGAAGGCCGTAGCAGAAACCTCTGAACAACAGATAAGTTCACCGTTGATAGAAGGACCGATCGCGATTGAAACAATAGATCACCGTAGGAGAAAGAAATGTCAGGGTCACAGGAGAAACGACAGTATACAACTTCAACATCAGTATAGTGGTATTGGTGTCACCTATGAGAAATACCAAAGAGGCACGGTTCCCGAGACCAATAAGATCTGATCACGGACAGAGGGTTCCCAACTTATGGTATGAATACCATGGGACAAATGGCCACTGGACAGGGGACTGCCGACACCTTCGGGAAGAAATGGCAATGCTATTAAAGAATGGTCACCTCAGAGAGTTCTTAAGTGACCGAGCCAAGAACAACTATGGTCAGAACAGAGACAACGTGAAACCGTCGAAAGCAGGAGAAGAACCCCCATGCCAAATGATCAATATGATCTTCGGGGGGAATGAGACTAATGGGGTCACCTTTTCAGTGGCAAAGAAGACGAAAGTTCAATAACTCATAGTAAAAGGCTTCGGGAAGATGATATCACTTTCATGGAGGAAGATGCAGACGGATTGCTGCTTCCACACAACGATGCACTAGTAATTTCTTTAAATGTGTTAGATTTTTGGATCTAGAAAGTTCCGCTAATATCATACAATGGAGAGTACTGGAGCAAACCAAACTCACCAGAAGCATTATTCCGACAACAAAGCTCCTCGCTGGATTTAACCTCGGGAGCGTGACAACCTGGGGAGAGATTTGGCTACTCACAAACGCTGAAGGAGTAATGAAAACAAATCTCTTCGAAGTTATAGATGGAGACATGGGGTACAATATTATCACGGGAAGGCCATGGTTACACGAGATGAAAGTTGTGCCTTTAACGTATCACCAATTGTTGAAATTTCCGACACCCGAGGGGATCAAACAGATAAGGGGTGATCAACCAGCAGCAAGGGATATGAATACAATCTCGGTCTCTAGTAGCAAAGGAAAGAGCGCATGGCATAGCAATTACAGGAACCGGCACTTGCCCCATAATCAGAGGAAGTTAGTCCGGGGGTAGAGGAATCGAAACAATATTAGGTGTGCCAAGGTATTCCAAGTTCCAAAAGAGATGGAATCAACGAAGTCCACAGCGGAAGAACTAGAGCAAGTTGAACTGTTCGAAGAATTCCTAGAAAGGAAATTCTATTTCGTAACAAGACTGCACCTGGAGCTCAGGTCTGCTTTTGTTGAATTTAATAAAATTAACGCCGATTGTTTTGCATGGTCGCACGAGGATATGACAGGTATCCCAACGAAGATAGCCGTGCACAAGTTAATCTTGGATCCCGACATACCTCCAGTAAGACAAAAGAAGCGCCCTATAGCTGAAGCAAGGAATAAATTTGTCAAAGAAGAGGTAACCCGCTTACTCAATATCGGTTCAATCCGAGAGGTAAGATACCCGGACTGGCTAGCTAATGTAGTAGTAGTTCCTAAGAAAATCAATAAGTTTCGTATGTGCGTAAACTGTAAGGATCTTAATAAGGCATTCCCGAAAGACTCTTTCCCACTGCCAAATATCGATCAAATGATTGATGCCATGGCCGGACATGAGTTAATGAGTTTCCTCGATGCTTATTCTGGGTATAGTCAAATCAAGATGAACCCTAAAGATCAGTAAAAGACTTCGTTTATAACGAGTTTCAGTATATATTGTTACAATGTGATGCCCTTCGGGCTAAAAAATGCCGGAGCCACTTATCAACGGCTCGTGAATAAGATGTTCAAGAAACAAATAGGAATGACTATGGTAGTATATATAGACGATATGCTCGTTAAGTCTTTGAATGCAGGTGACCACCTTAAGCATTTGCCAGAAACATTCGACATCCTGAGGGAGCATAACATGAAACTTAACCCCGGGAAGTGCGCGTTCGGGGTCAACTCTGGTAAGTTCCTGGGATACCTGGTCTTACAAAGGGGAATTGAGGTAAACCCCGACAAAATCAAGTCCATAAAGGATATCCCGGATGAATTGTCAAACGTAAAAGAAGTCTAGAGACTCACAGGTAGATTAGCAACATTAAACAGTTTCATTTCCCGATCGTCAAAAAAATGTCATCGCTTCTTCGCACTGCTCAAAAAGAAGAATAATTTCAAATGGACACCAGAATGTCAACAAGCCTTGAAGGACTTCAAGAAGTACTTGTCATGCCCTCCGTTGCTCTCAAAACCAAAAGAAGGTGAAATATTGCTAGCCTACCACGGGGTTTTAGAAGTTGTGGTAAGTGCAGTTTTAGTCCGAGAGGACGAAGGTACGCAATCTCCCATTTATTATGTTAGCAAAATTCTAACGGGAGTGGAAACTCTCTACCCACATTTGAAAAAATTGGCCTTAGCTCTTGTAGTAGCTGCTCAGAAGCTGAGGCCCTACTTCCAATGTCACCCAATAGTTGTGGTGACTACTTTCCCTTTGCGGAACATTCTTCATAAGCCCGATCTATCGAGCAGATTGGCTAAATGGGCCGTTAAAATGAGTGAATTTGATATTGAATACAAACCAAGGACTACAATTAAGTCACAAGTATTGGCTGACTTCATGGCTGACCTAAGTATGGGACTTTTGCCTCTGGCAGCCACGGAGGAAGTAATGGTGTCAGAATCAACATCGGGTGTTTGGACCTTATTTACGGACAGAGCTTCCAACGTAAAAGGGTCCGGGCTCGGAATAGTCTTAACCACGCCATCGGGGGAAACCTTAAGGCAAGCCATCAGAATGATCCCTTTAACTAACAATGAAGTAAAGTATGAAGCTTTGATTGTAGGGCTCGAACTGGCGCGGGGACTTGACTCCGACGTCATTGAAATCAAATGTGATTCACAGTTGGTGGTAAATCAGGTCTACGGGATCTTTGACACCAAAGAACAATGTACGCAACAATACGTGGCAAAGGTCCAGGCTCTGTTGGCACAATTCCGGGAACGGTCAATCACTCATATCCCGAGGGAGGAAAACACAGAAGCAGATGCATTGGCAAACTTGGGCACGTCGACAGAAATCAAGGGATCAGAATTAGGGATGGTAGTACAACTGATGAATTCAGTCTTGGATACAGATGGTTACTATGAGGTGAATTCGGCTAGTTTGGTCTGGGACTGGAGAAATGAAATAATCGATTATCTCGAGCACGGGAAGTTGCCCGAAGACCCCAAAGCATCACGAGCGTTACGCGCCAAAGCTGCATGTTATAGCTTCAAGAAAGGCCAATTGTATAGAAAATCCTTTCAAGGCCCGTTGGCCCAGTGCTTAGGAGCGTCAGAAGCTAATTATGTCATGAGAGAAGTTCATGAAAGGATATGCGGCAACCACTCGGTAGCAGATCTTTGGTGCTGAAACTAGTTCGGACAGGATATTACTGGCCCCGCATGGAACAAAACGCCAAAGAATTCGTCCGAAAATGTGATAAGTGCCAATGCTACGCACCACTAGTACATCAATCGGAAAGACCCTTAAATTCAGTTCTATCCCCAGGGCCGTTCATGAAATAAGGGATGGACATCATCAGACCGCTTCCACCGGCTCCTGGATAGGTAAGATTTCTTCTAGTTTTGCCTGACTATTTTTCAAAATGGGTGGAAACGTGTACTTATCAAAAGATCGGAGAATGCGAAGTGGTCGACTTCATGTGGGAAAATATAATTTTCAGGTTCGGAATACAACAAGAGATAGCATGCAAAAATGGGCCGCAGTTTATTGGCGCAAAAATTACAAAGTTCCTTGAAGATTTGAAGATAAAGAGGATCACCTCTTCACCTTATCATCCGAACGCAAACGGTCAAGCGGAGTCAAAAAACAAAGTGATTATTCAAAACCTTCAGAAAAGATTGGAAGCGGCAAAAGGCAATTGCCCCTAAGATTACCCGGAGTTCTATGTGCCTACCGAACAACGGCCAAGTCGAGCACAGGAGAGACTCCTTTTTCCCTTGTGTACGGCGCATAAGCTCTAATCCCGGTGGAAGTGGGGGAACCCACTTTGAGATATTACCAGGTAGATGAAGAATCGAACAACGAAGCAATGCTAATCAACTTAGAGCTGCTCGAGGAACGCATGGACTTGGCGCATGTAAGAATGGCAGCTCAAAAGTAGAGAATGGAGCGATATTATAATCAAAGAGCCAATTTTTGTTATTTCGAAGTAGGAGACTATGTCTTAAGGAAAGTAACCCAAAATACTCGGGAACTCAATGTAGGGAAGCTGGGGCCAACGTGGGAAGGTCCCTACCGGATTTCAGCTATCACAAGAAAAGGTTTATATGAGTTGGAGAACCAAAATGGAGACAAATCGCCCAACAATTGGAACGTGACGCACCTCAAAAGATATTATTGCTGATGAACAATATCCAATTTGAAGGTATGTGCTGCACTCTTTTTCCTTCGTTCAGTTTTTATCCTAATTGGGTTTTTCTGGCGACTTTTTTAATGAGGCAACGATAGAAAGCATAATAGGAAGACAACAACATTAAGACCTTCGATAGCAAGGCAAACAAGCAAGTTTCCACTTGGGGACGGTTAGATAATCTTTGGCTCGATAGCAAATTTCACTGGCAAGTTAAGTTTGCTATCGGACAGAGGTTACCCGACCGTTCACGAGCACAAACCACTAGACGATTGTTAGATAGTCCTTCACTCGATAGCATGGATTCCTAAGGGGAAGTTATGTGTGTTGCCGAGTTAAGGATTATCTAGCAATTCATTGGTAGAATCTTTGAAGGCATAAGACTTCCAGTGTTCCAATTCGCATTCTTCGCATTCGAACACTTGGGGGGAGGATATGAGGATACAATATCAATAACTGCCACGTCGACCAGGAATGAAAATCCGGAAATATAAACGTGTTAGCGGGACAAGGGACTGCACAGCTAGCCCCATAGAAACAAGTTGTACAAGATAGCCACAAGCAATGGAAATTTCTTTTTTAGCATAACAAATGCTTTTGTACGATGAACTAACTTTGTCAATTGAAAGTTAAACAGGTACTTCAAATGCTAGTGCCATAATGAACATGAGACGTCCTTTCAAGAGCACCGTAAACATAAAAGGGCCCTCTCTTATGAAAACCCTCTCGTTAAAGAGTTGGTTTCGAAAGAATTTATGCCTGAAATCAAAATGCCTTTGGGAAAGAATGCACCTGAAGACGTATACGAAAAAGACGCAAAAAAGTAAACTTGTGCAAACCTTCATAGAAAGTGCATCCGAAACTACGCGTAGCAAAGCACGAAATGAAAACGTGCGCAAAATTCTTAAGCAAAATGCAAATATTAAAGACTTGCATGGATATTCAAAAGAAAATAAGACTCAAGCACTACTTGAGAAAAAAGATGTCTATATTTACAAAAACGTGCCAAAAATGACAAAGATACAAGAATGGAAAAAGGAAAGGAAAAGCTAAACTGCAGCATCTCCGCAACCAGGAGGAAGAGAAGTGTCCACGCCCCCGGGAGAAGTAGGTGGGTCCGCTGATGGCTCGACATTTCCCCCAATTTGGTCTTCAGCATCATCATCCTCCGATTCCTCTTCAGTTCCCGAATACTCAGAACCGGAACCAGAAGAACCAGAAGCATCAGACTGTTGCCGGAGTCCATTTTTAGCAGCCAACTCAAGCTCTTGGGCCCTAGCAATTTCAGCATCAAAGTCAAGGATGCCTGCTTTAGCCTCTTCCAAGGTTTTTCTCCTCATGTTGTACATGGCGTAAGTTTTTTCAACAATAAGGGAAGATGCTCAACATTTGAGTTTTTCCTTGAGCTGGGTTACCTCCTCAGAGAGGCTTTTCCAGGCGGACTTAATGGGTTGGAGGCTAATATCAATGTCGCAGATAGTTGAACTAAATAGCCTATTATGCTCGATAGTTTTTCTGTACTTCTCTTCTAACTGGGCACACTTCGTCTCCATTGTAGCAAGCTCTTCGATTTTGGATTCCAAGGCTACTTCTAATTCAATCACTTTTTCAGCAGTAGCAGCCTCGCGCTCGGTTGCAGCAAGAACGACGTCCTAGACTCCAGCCCATTTAGCCTTAGCTTCATTGAATCTAACCCTCAGCGAGCTAATTTCTTGGCTAAGGTTCATCACCTCTTGCTTGCTTTGCTACAAACGAGCCTCCAACACAACTGCCTCAGTGGCTTTGGTTTCCAATTCCGAGAGGCGGAGAACGGTGATCTCATTCTACCAAAAGTTGATCCCACTTAGAGGTGAGTTACTCCTTCTCAGGAATCAACCTCGGAAGGCCTTCAGAAGCAAGAAAGTTGGCCTACAAAACAAGAGACACAAAACTTAGAATGCATTCGGGCAAAAGTAGAAGAAATTATAAAGGAAGAAAGGAAGGCACAGCTGCAGCATTATGCATGACATTGTTTATCAAACACTCTTCCAAGAGTGCTTGGATCCTTTCCCAATCTCTTTTTGAAGCTAAAGGCTTCAGGTAGTTAGCAAGCTCCACCGGCCGGGAAAGCAGGTTACACCCGGTAGAGATCGAAAGAGTTGCATTCCTCCTCCTTTGTGGATCTTCAGAAGGGGCAGCGTAATTTTGCCCCAAACTCCCTTGAACTGGGGACTAGGGAGGAGGAACATCTCCTTCATGATCAAATGCGATCGATGGAGATAATATAGCAATTGCTGGTGGAAGAGTGGATGAAGATGGAAATGATGTAGCAATTGCTGCTGGTTGTGAAGATGGGAATGGAGCTGATGGAGTTGAAGGATGCGAAACACTTGCATCAAGTGCAGTGTTGGTGGGATGCTCGCCAACCAAAGACGGCAGGGACTCGGTACTCGGCCCTACAGTACCGGGCACAACTGTTGGGACCCAATAGCTGGAGTTGGCATTTTCTACCAAATCAAACTCCCCCTAGAGCTCTGAGACGTCATCCTCGGTTGGAGTAGTTAACTCAGAAGATGGGGCATTCTGTTGAGTTGATGATAAACGTCGCCTTCTGTGTAGAGAAGCCCCATCATCACTGGCTTCTCCATCATCGTCAATCATCACGGTGTCTATGACTGGCCCGGGAGGAGGGCTAGTGATCACAACTTCTGTAGATGACACGGGGGTAGTAGTCTTCGCCCTCTTATTCTTTTCCTTGGCCGTAGAGGAATATTTTCTTTTTGGTTTCTTGTTCTCCAGCTAGGAACTCCGTAATGAAACACTTGTGCCCGAAGCAGGCCTGGAGAAACCTGCTCGAATAAATGCCTCCTGAAGCAGCCTTGCAGCATCAGTAGGATCAGGCAAAACGTCATCCTCGGGGACAATAACTGAGCCTACAGGTAGATATGATTTAAAGAAAAAGATAGAAGAAATTAGTCAAGTTCTTCACATACAAAGGTTGAAATAAGGTGAGTTTGAGTTACCATAATTTTTGGCCTTCCACCCGTACTTAAGGGCCAGTTCCTTCCACAAACGAGTTTCAGGCATCGTAACGTCCAAGATCTTCCGAACCTATCGGTCCAGGCCTTCCACCGCCGGTGGGGTCCATCGAGTTGCTGAAATATACGAAGGATGAAGAGTCAATACAGGCATAGAAGAATATTTAGCGAAAGAAAATATACGGAATAAAGGTCTTACGAGTACGGTTCCAAGTGGCCGGAAAGGATGATGCCGTTGACGGAATGATATTATTGGTGGAAATTGCAACGAACCGTTTTTTCCACCCACGATCGCTATCATCATCCATGCTAGTCAACAGAACATGGTGGCCATGTTTGCAGGGGTTTATCATGCCCCCTACGAAAAATCTTGGGGGAGTAAATATTCATCATATGAGCTAATGATAGCTCTTCTCCAGTTTCCTGGCACAAGCGTCGAAGGCAGGCAACTGTCCTCCACACTGAAGGTCTCACCTGTGCCAAGCATACTTGGTAACGAAGGCAAATCTCCGCAATCACGGAATCAAGCTTTCCGCTCAAAGAAAACGCACCCAAAGTGAAGGGATACGTGTAAAAATATGTAAATCCTTCCTTGAGAAGGGTCACTCGCTACGATAAATCAGGAGCAATGATGTCCAATTCGTGGCAGTGGCGTCTTCCTTCACAGTAGGAATATTGGAAGGGCGAATTGAAGAAAGATACCTACTGATAGCCCATGCGCAAGGGTTAGCAGTAGGGAATTTCTCTGCGAAGTTTTTGTGGTGTTAAGACTTCGGGGGATGATGGAACCTACCGTTGGAGGAGCAGAATCCTCAGCCTTGTTCTTTTTCTTTGAAGGGCCAGCGCGTTTGGAAGAAAAAGCCATTGAGTAAAAAGAAGGAGAAGGGTTTGGTTCGAAGATAATTAGGGAAAAGATGGAAAACAAAGATGCAGGTTAGAAGTTTGAGAATTTATGAAGTACATAGGAGAAGGGTGATGCG